CTATTTCTTCTTCTTTTTTTCCGTGCTTATCTCTTTCTCAGGCTTTTTCGTTTCTTTTTCTTTCACTGTGACTTTTTCTTTCACTGTGACTTTTTCTTTCACTGTGATTTTCTCCACCGGTGGGGAAATTGTAACCATTGGTTTTTGCAAAGGCGGTAGAGGTGGAGGCTTTGGTTTTGGAACTGGGACGTGTCTGCACAAATTAATCACTCGTTTCGTTAAAATTTCGATTTTATATTAATTCTTAATTATGCAACATTTATTCATTATATGATCAGACATTTTTGTAGTGTATTTAAAATAAATCCTTCATTTCAATAAAATTCAAATTTTTAAAAATCAGCATTCTTTTATCATTTGTTACTTGCTCGTTAGATAGAAAATAAAATACATATATTTAAATATTTTACGAATAATTGATCAATTATGCTAAGCATAGAAAAATCTACGAAGATTTCTATCTATCGAAGAGTTTTGTGGAGTTTTATTCTTATGCAATAACTGATGCATTTTAATTTTTACGAAGAGAGATCTTTTGTATAAATGAGTTTTAAACGAATAAATATTCTTTTTCTTTTTCTTGCTCTACATTTTCTTGTTCTAATGCATTATATGATCGAGAGTTATTTATAGAAAAGGAAATTTTTGGATTCATGAATGAAGTATATCTCTTGTGCAACAAGAAAAAAAAAAAAGACTTAATCTTACTTGATGGACATATGTATTTCTTGCACTGATCTGTCCTGAGTAACATTGATCCAAATATTCGACTGTGTCCTCGGTTTAAGGCAGAAACCTTTATCCACGCAACATTCCGCATGATCGAGTTCTTCCTGGGCCCGAAACTTCCTTTCCCAACATTCCTCCCATTTGCGTAAACGCTCCTTCTCCTCCTCCTCGCGCTTCTCTCTTTCTTCCCTATCCTTTCTCTTTCTTTCCAATTCTTTCGCCACTTTCTTTGGCTTGCGCTTCTTTTTTTCACCTCCCCGCTCCATTGTTTTTGCATTTTCCCCATTCTTGACATCTATCCTTTCCCAACACGGTTCACCAATCACCACTTCCGGTCGTTTTAATTGCGAGAAAGTTTCCTCTTTAATTGCCGGTGTTATCTGTCTCGTTTTTCTATTCGGATCGAGGAGAACGTATAGAAATATCGCCTCCAATTGAAGAGTTATTAGTATGTTTTCAGTAAGAATCTTAATTAATGCATGATACGGGTTGATTAACTGAAAATTAAAAAGAAACATTAATGAAGAGTAGATAAAATTGTGGATTGAATTTTTTTTTTTTTTTTTATATACGCCAATAAATAAATCTTGAAACTCGAGTGATCATTTTTGACGGGAACATTATTATACTAATAATAAATTATAGTGATTATTGATAATATTGATAATATAAAATTTGATAATATATCAAATATTTTTAAATGTCAATTTAAAATTTTAAAAATATAATTTCAGTTAAAAATAAATAATTTCGATTATATATGTCAGTAATCCGAATGGTAAATTTTTATTTATATATCTTACATGATAAATGTCGTTAACAGTCTTTATCGCGTAAAAAATAAAATTATACAATTAAACGTAAACTTATAAAGTCACCTATGACCAGTCGATATTAATTATTATTTAAAAAAAATCTTGTTTAATTACTGAGACAATGTGTAGTATTTTTTGATTTTTGTCATGTATTTCTGTTGCATTTATCATATTAACGGAAAATTTTGGTGGTTGGAAGTATGGTTGGAACTATGGTTGGAAGTACGAAATGAACATAATTAAATATCAAAACAAAAACCAAAGTGACAATTTATTAAAAGATAATTTCATTTTAACGATCTCTGAAAAATTCTATAAACGCTTATCTTAAAATTTTTCGATTCTTTCATGAATTATTTTCATTTTATTTTCGAAATATATTCTTCTTAAAATACGTTATATGTATATTATGTAATATAAAATTCTTCATGATAGATTTATTAAAATTATTATGACTTATTATATTATTTATAAATGAAAATAAATTGTATTCTAGTTTTCTAATTTCTTTCAATTTTGACAACATCTCTCTGCTTTTTTTTTGCAGTTTTATTTTATCATCAGAACAAGATTTTAATCGAAAGAAATAATTTTATTTTTCGAAATACAAAAAATTAATATAAATTATTTAGTGATATTGATATTGATCCCTGTATCTTTCAAATTCAAAATGCAGAATAAATAATATTAGAACGACTTTTACGCGTTGTGAAACACAATTCAATTCAAATTTAATTATATTCCATTGCTGACATTTTCATATTATCATTCTTTAACAGAATAGAATTGCATTTGATTGAAAGAAATGTTAAAATATAATTTGAATGCATATTAATGATATTATTAATTTTTTTCATGAATGGGTGAGTAAAGATCATGTAAAGGTCAATTTTATTTAGACATTTTTTTAAATGGAATTATACGTATATTTTTTAATATATCAATCGATGCAACTCGATATTTTCTATAGAAAAATATTAACATATATATTTAAAAATCATTGGTTTAGCAAATATTTCAATTTGAATAAATTTGAAATATTAATTATAATAAAATTGAAATTCAAGATTCTTCCGATTCAAACTTTCCTTCATTGATAAAATAAATCCTTAAAATATCGATGTTGCCAAAATTGAAAAAAAAAGTCACTAAATTAAATAATAATCACTATTTACCCAAATTAGAAATAACTACTTACTTGTTACGCATTTTCCTTGAAAAATATCTTCTTTCATTTAGATTTACAACAGTTGCAATTATAATCCTTCACGGGACATCCACATTTTTTCACGGTTTCTTTAGTAATCAGATCAGAAAACTTTTTCGGCGCTGAAGCACCGCAACAAGATGGACAAGGAGGTGGTTCCGCACATGGAGTGCATTTTCCTTCTTGACGAGCTGCTTCGCGTATCGCAGCGAACGTTTGATCAGTTGAACAGGGACACGGGCTCTGTTGCTCTTTTCGTCGTGCTTTCGGTGAGCATGGACACTGTTTTCTGAAAATGAATAAAGAATATTGCTAAGAGAATACTTTTTTGATGATGGATGACGTCGAAGATAAATCGTTATACATCGAAAATTGAATAGTATTTTTTAAATTAGCTAGTATCGATCGCTTGTTAATAATATTGTATTATTATATAATATGTTATATTTTTAATAAAAATTTTAACAAGATTGATATTTCATTTAAAATAAATACATACATCAAATTAGCTCTTATATATTGTTAAAATAACAAGTGGAGAAACAATTCAAAGTGCAATATTTCATAATTTCACCAGATGGCAGCAGAAGTCGAAATATCAGATGTACAGTAACTCGCAAAAATATTTAGACACTTACGTATATTTAACAATCTATATCGTTGTTGTTAATTATGAAAGAAATGAACTAACTCAAACTTGTTTCTTTCGATAGAATGTTTATTGTACTTTATAAATTTAACTTTTAAGAAATAATTTTAAAATTAACTTATAAAAAATTACTATTTTTAATTACTTTACTATAAATTTTTAAAGTATTTTTTTTATAATACAAAAAATAGTTGTAATTACATTTAATTTTTAATATTATTTTATTATATCAAGTTAATTAAATAAGTTGCACATATTTGTAAAGTACAATAAATAATCTATCGAACGAAACAAATTTGAATTTCATTTTTTTGTATAATATAATAAAGATGTAACTTGTTAAAGTTAAGCATATGTTTATGTTCAAATATTTTTTGGAATCATTGTACTTCTTTAACGGAAGTTAAGATTCTCTATAATTGTTTACAGTTTACAATAGATATAGTTGTTATCAAAACATTTATATTTGATAAAAATAGATGAACCTTGACTTTAATCAATATTTTAACATTAGCACGTAAAATGTACAATTATATATGCCAGTATTTGAAAATATGTTTGAAACTTGAAAGAATGAAACGTCATATTTAAAAGTTGAGACGTGAATCATGCCTTCTTCAAAGAATTATATTAAATTATTTTTAATGACAAGGGTGAGTTTTCAAAAATTGCAAGAGCTATGATCGATTTGATGTGATTTGAGAAATACTTTTGCAAGTAAGCAAGTTAACGATCACTCTCAAATATGGCGATCACCTAGTGACCGTAACAGGCAATAACCTTATGAAACTACTCTCGTATAATACTTATTAGGAATAGAAAGTTGAAAAAAGATAGATTCTACGTTCATTGCAGTCGAATACCAATGTGGTGACAACTTAATGTGATGAGAAAAGCGTTCAATTTATAAAATTATTATATTTGAAATACTCTGATTCTGTGAATAATACATATTAGCAATAGAAAGTTGAAAAAAAGTAAATTTTGTATCTATAATTTTCCATTAATTTAAATTTTAATGATTAAAACAATTAATTATTATTGCTAGAAGAATCACAAAAATATAATGATATAATGATATAAAAATATAAAAAATTAGAAAAATCTGATTAATCTTTCTGCTGCTATAATTCGTATAAAAGCAATTTTCTCGTCGTCTTTAGACCAAAAATATCTAAATTTAAATTTTTATAAATCCAATTAGAAAAATGCGATTAAAGTAAACTATCTATTTCACTCTTTAAATATCACAATGTAATATTTTATGTTCTTTTATGCACATATATATCATTCATATCATATAAATTTGCGATTCAAATTTTTTTTATAAACATTTACAAATAAATATATATTTATCATTCTTCGATTATTTTCGACGAATCTTAATTGGAGAAACGAAAAATTTCTCGTAAATAAAAATCAATTTTGAAAGAAGAATTAACAAAATATTATAGGATTATAGGAATATGAGATAAAATGTAAAAATATCCATATAATAATAGTATAGTAAAACTAGTTGCGCAACCATAACGCTTATCTTCCATTTTATGCGCTCGCTATATTCAACGTGTATATAAAAGCATACGTACCCTTGACGCGAGGCGCAGCAAGGCCGTGGACCGTAATCGGGTTGTTTAGGTAACGGGGGACACGAGTTGGTTTGTACGATCGGTGTCGCACAACAGGTTCTTCCTACCGTCTCGCCACTTCCATCGCACTTCTTTGTGCAGGTACATTTAACAGGGGCCGGTGTGTAACATTCGGAGGGTATTTTTTTGCATTGAAAAACAGGACTGTCATCCGCCCCCTTGAAAAGATACGGTTTCCTATTGTGCGGTATTTGAAACTGGGTGATGATCTTCTTGCCGAAACAGGAAGCTCTTATGTAAACTGTCACGGATCCAACGCATTGTCCGGTCGTTGTTGTGATTTTAAACGTGTCCTTGATCGTTTGACAAGGATTAGGTATTTTGAACACCTGTTGGCTCAACACGGCGTTTATTATCGCTTTCGCCTCGATCTGGTACGAACCGATCAGCATTACGTCCGGTAACACTCCAGGTGGCAATTTTTTGTAGACGGAGAGTTTTATGGGGAAGGTGGTCAAGGGTCTTTGAAGAACGATTGATGGCAAAGCGAACAAACAGGATTTACCCTTCTTGAAAACTTGCGTGTCGCCCTCGATACAACCGCAGCCGTCTGTTAAAGCTTCTTGGCAAATGTCGATTGGGGGTAAACTGAGAATCTGTGGATTAATTTTTGAAAAATGTGATTATCAAGTATTTTATAATATAAAAGAGGAAGTAAGAATGCAAGGAGAAAATTAATGTAATTTCTTAAACGAATTATTAAAAATTAAAGAAATTATTTTATTTACTTAACGTCGATTCTTCTATTGGAATTGATAATATCGAATTGTAAGTTATATAAATAATTTAACCTGTGTAGAGGATTACTATAGTATGTACATCCTGAATAATTTTTTAAATAATATTATTGGATAAATTTTTTCAATTTTGATGATCATTTTTGTATTTATAATACAAAAATTGTCATAATGAATGGAGAAAATGAGAAATGTTTATGCGAAGAGGTTATACGGTTTGAAAAAAATATATCTAATTTATCGAATATAATTTATAATAATATATAATAACCTATAAATTATCGAATTTAATATAATTTTAATTTACTTGAAATGAAACACATGTGGAGGCTGGTAATAATTCCTCTTGCATAGCTCTAATCACAGGAATTTTAACTTTGTCGACCAGAAACTCAATCAAGAATAATTCCTGTTCATCAGCCATTTTGAATACATTACGATATTTACAAGATTTTTAAAACATATTTGTTCAATTTTTAAAAAGATTATTTAACAAATCTTATTATCTTTTAACCCTCAATTTAGATATTCCCATTGAGTCAATTGCGATTTCAAAAATTTCAAAGTTCAAAATCTAATAGCAATCCGAAGAAGGGGGCGCTCAATTCGAACAATCTCTATTTTACACTGTAAGAGGGAGAGAGAGAGAGAGAGAGAGAGAGAGAAAGAGAAAAAAGAAAAAAAAATACTAGATCACTAGAACTTTCAAATAATTAAATTCAATTTCAACAATCATTTTAATAATTCGATCAATAAATCAATATAGATATAAATATAAAATACAAATATACACGCAACAATGAGATCAATATCATCCATCGGAATCCATCCATCGAAAACAAATTTCTTAAAACGATCCACACCTATTCACTTCTTCTTCTTCTCCTTCTCCTTCTTCTCCTTCGCCTTCGCTTTCTTTTTCACCTTCTTCTCTTCCGTCTGCATCTCCCTTGTCTCGCATCTGATCGGGGGTCCCCTCTCCGTCCCTTTCGGCGTTTTCATCTCCAATTGTATGTCAGACTTCTCCCCAACCCCGACGATC